AATTAATAATTCTATAAAATAAAAACTTACTTACTATAATATTATAATTACAATATAATTAATTACTTAAGTTACACTAAAACAAAATGAGGTAGAATAACTAGAGGTACACTCAGGTACACACTTTTGAGATTAATCTTTGACACTCGTTTGTCTTGGTCGCCCCATATCTCTTACCTCCGTGTTGAATGCTCTAAGGCCCTTAACCTACTCAAGGTTTTGTCCCATACTTCTTGGGGAGCGGATAGGCGCACGCTTCTCTATTTGCACTCCACTTCGTCCTGTCTAAACTCGATAACTCGATTATGGTTGCCCTTGAGTACTTTTCTTCACACTTCCACTCCGATTCCATCTTCACCGATGGGTCTAATTAAGTCTGCTGCCGGTGTGGGCTACTCTGCTGTTTTTCCTGACCGCACCTATAGGTGTCGCCTTCCTCCGGAGGCTAGCATCTTTACAGCAGAACTTTATGCTATTCTCTATGCTCTTCGTCTCCTGCTTTCTCGTTGTCAATCCTCCTTTGTGGTGTAGTTGACCCTCGCAGCGCCCCCATTGCTTTGGGGTCCTTTAATCTGGTCCACCCGGTGGTCATCGTGATTCAGCATTGGCTGTTTCTTATCTCCAGTAAATTTAAGTCGGTAGAGTTTTGCTGGTTTCCCAGCCATGTTAGTGTCTCTTTATATTCCTTATTCCGACTTTTACCCAGTTATTCATTCCTCCATCCTTGCCCGTTGGCAGGGTTGTTAGTCTTCTGTTACTGGTAACAAACTGCGTACTCTTAAGTGTAGTGTGTCCCCGTGGCCTTCCTCCTACCACCGTAACCGGCGGTGGGAAACAGGTCTGGCAAGGTTGTGTATTAACCATACTCGCTTAACTCACGGTCACTTAATGGAGCACCGTCCTGCTCCTTATTGTCCAAATTGCATTGTCCTTCTTACAGTCGTGCATATCCTTGTTGAATGTCCTGACTTCCAGGACGAGCGTGTCTTGCTTTCTGACCATCCCTCATGGTCACCTGTCCCTCCATAGAATTCTTGGTGAATCAGATACTTTTGATGTCGTTCGCCTTATGCGTTTCTATTCTCGTATTGGCATCCTTGGTGATATTTAGCGCCCTCTGATTATTCCGCACATTTGATAGTGCTACACAGCCTTCCCGGTTTGGTGCCTTCTTTGATAATTACTTACTTTAAGGATCATCACCTCTGATTTCGATGCATCCGATTCATCAGACGAACATCATCATCCCCCTGGCAACCCGTCTTCTTAAAAATAACGTCGCTTTTCGCTCGTTTGCGCACTATGGCCAAAAATGGACGTAATTTGAAATGAAATCGGCCCACTAAAGTGATGTATTGTCCCGTTTTCTGTTCGAGTACTCCGGCTTACTCGGTTAGGTTTGGAGAGGAAACTTTCAATTAACGTTTTTCATGACGTTATGAAACGTTAGGAGAACTTCCTGCCCTCTTAACCTACCAGAGGACCCTTAACTTACTGTTTTGGAAAAAAAATCCTAAAATTATTTTCAATTTTTTTAATTTTCAAATTACGTCCATTTTCGGCCATACGGACAAACGGCCAAATTCAGACATAATTTGTAGGACCGGACACGCCCCCAAAGATTTCCTCCTGAACGCCACACTCACGACCTTTTATTTTTTTATATATACAAGAGTTCTTACATTCTCGTACAACCACTAGCAAGTGTAGCGCTTCAGGCAAGTTCTTAATCCTAATTTTTCACACACACACACACACACACACACACACACACACACACACACACACACACACACACACACACACATATCCCCAGGTAACTGCCCGTAGCAGCTGTCTAATGCCCAGGTAACTTTTTACTGCTAGGTGAACATCAGGGTGAAAGAAATTCTGCCCAATTGCTGCCGCCTCCGCCGGGGATCGAACTCGGACCCTTAGGAATACGAACACCGAGCGCTGTCCACTCAGCCGTCAGGCCCTTAAAATGGTGACCACGGTCATAAGAATCATATACATACATTAGCATTGCTTAGAATTACGCATGTGTTATTGCCGTGATCGACAACGCTGCCATATCCACGAGAAGTAAGACAACCATGAAGACTAAGACAAACGTTGATCCAAACTCGCCGGAAAACATCAGAAGAAAGAAACAAGAAGAGCATTGAAACCAGAAAACCGTCGAACGAAGACCTGAGAAACACCAACATCTACCACCAACTGCCGGAGAACCGAATCCCTGCGCGACGCCCATGTATGCAAAGGAATAACGAAGAATGTCATACAGTATCACTGCAAAGAAACCCCCCCCCCCGGACTGGTTGATCAGTCCGGCAACCAGGAGGCCTGGTCGACGACCGGGCCGCGGGGACGCTAAGCCCCGGAAGCACCTCAAAGTAACCTTAAGGTAACCCCCCGGGGTGGTCAGGCCATCATGCTGTATCTCCCTCTAACGTGTATCCTGTTCCCTGCTCCAGCTTGCCGCATCCTCGCCCCAGCCTTCCATTCTCTGCTTACCTGCCTTAGGGTCCTTGGAATTGGAAAATAAGTAAAACTCAATTATCATAAATCAGTATCGGAACTATTTTCTGGTCATAAGAATCATATACATAGATTAGTATTGCTTAGAATTATGCATGTGTTATTTCAAATTACTCTGTAATGCTGCAATTTAAAACATAAAGCTACGTGAATCAGCATTATGCTCCTCATAACGGGCCAAAAATACGCCAAATTATAGGTGAAACCTGGAAGATTGCATTACAGAGAAATTGGCAGATAAAATTGCAAGAGATTCCTTAGCTACACAATTATGGAGGTTTGAGTACATAGACAAATGCTCGTACTTTACCCACTTTTTCCCCAGATACCGCACAGTAACAATATACTTTAGGGACTTATAATCATCCGACAAAAATATAAGGATCTTTTCAAACGAATAAAAAGGGAAGTTTAATGACTTTATATAGCTACAATTAAAATTGTATAGGATTCTAGTATTTTATGTAATATTTAATTCAAAATCAAATTACATAATAATTTCTTGTATTATATTTAAGAAATATTTAATGATATATATAATGCTCTATAAATTATTTGCAAACTATGTTTATTAATATGAAATATTAATTACTTCGTAATTGCCAGGTGCTCGGTTATTGGAAGATACACGACTAACTCAAATTGATTTGATGACTAACTAACGCCTTTGAAATATAATTCAAAGTATCGGGGGACAGGCAGCCAGAGTGTAAATATAAAACGTGTCGCCGACGCGAGATTTCCGGAGAAAAGCAAAATGTCATTCTCTCTGCCCCCCCCCCTGGGGGAGCCGGTCGGCCGAGCGGACAGCACGCTGGATTTGTGATCCTGTTGTCCTGGGTTCGATCCCAGGCGCCGGCGAGAAACAATGGGCAGAGTTTCTTTCACCCTATGCCCCTGTTACCTAGCAGTAAAATAGGTACCTGGGTGTTAGTCAGCTGTCACGGGCTGCTTCCTGGGGATGGAGGCCTGGTCGAGTACCGGGCCGCGGGGACACTAAAAAGTCCCGAAATCATCTCAAGATAACCTCAAGAAGATAACCCCCCCCCCCCTGGGGGAGGGGTGGGGGAGGTGCATAATAAACTAAACTAAGTAATCTACTGTGCTGAAATATGTTTAACTAAAGTTATGTATCCAGGTGCATAAATTTGGTGTTGGGTTTAATGCCTATCAACCTCTGGCGGATTATTACGGCAACCACAAGAGTTTATACTGACCATAACCAGCAAGTATACTGCAGTCCTGAACACAGTCCAGCCCTAAAGTAAACTCAGTGTACATATATGTCGGGTTCGTTATCGACGCACAAACGAGAATTCGGGGTTCGAATCCCGGGTGGGACAGAAATGATTGGACACACACCTTTCACCTAATGCCGCTGTTCACCTAGCAGTGAGTAGGTCCTCAGGAGTTAGTCAGTTTGTTGTGGGGTTGGATCCTGGGCGGGGTCAGTAATTTGGCCTTGGGGAAGGGGGGGGGACCTCGATAAAAGCCAAATGTGTATGAATCCACTCTGGCTTCCTGTCCCCTGACACAATGAATTATTTTATACCAAGAAGCGGGGTACCCTTCTAACTGAACACAACCTGTTACTGGATTAGTTTCGAGTTGAGCTTAAAGCCTATCAGCCTCCGGATGAAGATAGATTCATAATAAGAAGCGTTACTGCTTACCAAGCGGCAGACAATATGACAGCCATAAAGGAGACTTTGGGAAAGTTTGTATTCGCCTAGTTGTGCTTGAGGGGGTTGAGCTCTGCTCTTTCGGCCCGCCTCTCAACTGTCAATCAATCAACTGTTAGTAACTACTAACTATTTTTTTTTTTTACACACACCCAGGAAGCAGCCCGTAACAGCTGTCTAACTCCTAGGTACCTATTTACTGCTAGGTAACAGGTACATCAGGGTGAAAGAAACTTTGCCCATTTGTCTCTACGGCGCCGGGAATCGATCCCGATAGGATTACGAGTCCCGCGCGCTGTCTACTCAGCTACCAGACCCCCTGGTATATATTTGTGGCATATGAAGAGGCAAGATTGCATCAGCCATTGCAATCTGACCTCAACATATCCCTATATGTTCATCATAATGTCTGTTGCATCTGATATATACATACAAGCTAATTTGTCACCTGTAATGTTATGGTCAATATGTAAGTATATTATACAAATTGGAGCAGGAAAATCATGTTTTTGTTTCGTGTATGGCTTAAGGCCTATTAACTTCAGAAGGGTTATTAAGATCACAGTTTTCAACTGACCAATCAGCAAGTTTACTTAGTCCGTAAATTCTCAGGGTATATATACCGAGAAGCGAGATATAGATTGATGAAGATTAAGCCACCCAAAAGGTGGCACGGGCATGAATAGCCCATAAGTGGTGGCCCTTTTGAGCCATTAGCAGTATCAACAGCTGATACTGGAGATCTGTGGAGGTGCGGCTGCACCCTGCGTGACGGGAGATGTCTCCCATGGCGAGATATACACTTCTTGGTGTATATACACTGGCTTGGGATACTACCTCGAGAGTCGCTACATTAAACCACAAATTTTTCACCAGAGAATAAGACATTCATGTTATTTTCTTTTTTTAGTTATACGTTGTGTGTAAATCGCTAAAAAGTTAGAGAAAACTATTAAGAAATGATAAAGGGGGAACTCTTGCTTTTCAAAAATCCGAAGTTAATTTTAGAATAATTTTAAATTTTGCGTTACATGGGTAGTGATGTGCACGTATACCGGCCTGGCGGTCCGGGATCAACATAATCAAAATATATAAGGGTCCCGGTAGTACAGTCGGGTTCGTTCTCGACGCACAATTAAGAATTCTGGGTTCGAATCCCGGGCGGGACGGGAATGATTGGGCACATTTCCTTTCACCTAATGCCTCTGTTCACCTAGCAATGAGTAGGTATTCAGGAATTAGTCAACTTTATGTGGGGGTTGCATCCTGGGCGGAGTCAGTAATTCGGCCTTGGGGGGGGGGAGGGGAAGGTCCTCGATAAAAGTTAATTGTGTATGAATACACACTGGCTTCCTGTCCCCCGACACAATAAATTATAAATTAGACCAAAATTGGCAGTATAAACAAACTGTTAATGCATTTACTCATTTGCAAACTCTGTAACAAGCTTATCAATGCTGTAACTTGCTCATCAATGCTGTAACTTGTAGGTCCAGCTCCTGTAGAGCCTGTATCACGTGTCGTTCTTCGTCGAGTCAAGATGTCACCCTCAGATGAGTGTTACTCCAGCCCGCAGCCTGCTGGAGGTTGGGCAGTACTCAGCATACTCCTCCCAGGTGCAGCCGACGGCCGTGCAGCACTCAGCTGTGATGGAGGGGGACTGTCGACGCAGGCGGTGCTGGGGGCCTCGACGGCCTCTCCCACCGACCCACGTCGTCACAAACAAATTTGCTTGATGGACGCTTAAAAATGGAGACCTGTGAAGGGGGAGAGATTAATTGGGTTATTGCGAGCCCCATCCTGTAGACTGTGGTACTATAGTTAGTCACATCAACACTTCAGGAATTGGACAAGAGAGAAGAGCACTTGGGAATTAGGGATATGAGGACGTAGTAACAGAACAATGTCCTACCTATTGCCTTCACTCTCATAGTTTGTATCCCCCTGCCCCTTGCATCCCTCCCAACCCGTCTATCCCCCTGCCCCTTGCATCCCTCCCAACCCGTCTATCCCCCTGCCCCTTGCATCCCTCCCAACCCGTCTATCCCCCTGCCCCTTGCATCCCTCCCAACCCGTCTATCAAACCCCACAGACTACCCTCCAAACCTGGCCTGGACGCTCTCCTGTCCGGTATCCGGAGTGGATGGATTGATCTCAATTGTAGTGGATGGAAGGATGCTCTCTGCCCCATCCAGACTCTTTTCTCTCTTCTCAGTGTTATCCTCGGCACTCTCTCCACCCGCTTCTGTAACATGAGTGAGTAAGCTTTTTATTCGCAATGCTACTAACTAAACAAACAGAATAATTATATATGTGTGTGTGAATGAGTTTGGACAGATTTAATTTGAGCTGCCTCGTATAGGCCAATAGAGTTACAGTACTACAATTTCCTTAATTCTTCATATTATGTTCTTTTATAGCGAATCTTATAGGCGGCAACACTCCAGACAGGCATCTACGCATTCAAGACATTGACCTTCAGTGGGTTACACAATATCAATATCTCAGAGTGTGGATAGATTTTAAAATGACATTCAACAAGCAAATTCAATATCTGAAGAAAGGAAAGTCACGACTGATTATAATGAGAGCAATCACAGGGCCCCGTCTAGGAGCGGGACACAAAGTGATAAGAATGTTTTACATACACGCCGTTCGTTCCCTAGTTGATTATGCAGCGCCTGCCTTACTCACTCTTTCTTCTGGTCAGTGGGCAAACGTTGAGGCTATTCAAAATGATGCAATGCGAGTCATAACAGGAGCTCCCAGATGGACTAAAATACTGAACCTAAGACTAGAAACCAAGCTAACATCGATTGAAATAAGGGTAAAAGGGATTACTGCGTGTATGCTGACCAAGATATTGACTAGACCTATAATCAGTTCACTTAAAGATATAATCACTGGAGCACTAACTCTGGACAGAAGAGCCTCCAATAGCAACAGGTGGACCCACTGTGCGATAAACACCATCAATACATTCGATATAACAAACACAGTCACTGAGAGAGATGTTGATGAAATACATGCAGACTTTGTTATAAAAGCCCCTTGGGAATCTCCGCCAGCAGACTTTAAGATTATGGTTCATGAAGGAAAAAAGAACCAGACAAATCCTCATCTGCTACGTAACATTGCACAGATGCATATAGAAGCAAACATGGCACCCGACAGCTTCACTTACTTCACAGATGGATCAGTAGACCAGCAGGGACAAGAAATCAGAACTGCGGTTAAAGCAGGACACTGAAATAGTTGGAGACTCAAATGAGTGTTCAACTTTACAAACAGAGATGCTAGCCATTCAAAAGGCTTTGGAACATGCTCTTGCTGAACACCGACAACATGTTATCATATATACAGATTCGAAAACTGCCATTGAAACCTTGCAACAAGAACACACATACATGATAACATCCATCTGATCACAAATGTCATATCATTAATGCAAACACTCAAACATCAAGGACGTCAGGTACTTATCAACTGGGTGCCAAGCCATGTGGGAATAATAGGAATTGATATTGAAGATGAAGCTGCAAAACTTGCAACTAAAAGAAGAAATGTAGACATTTACATTTAGTTAGTTTAGTTCATTTATTATGCACCCCATACCCATCTTGTGGGCGGTAGCGGAAAGGGTTACAGAGGCACATAATGGGCTCAGGGACTGAACCCCACAATTCATTTAGCTAAGTAAGTTACAATCTTGATGAGCTAGTTACAAAATTCAATATACGTCATCACATCAACAATGGGTTCGAGATCGACCTCAAGTACAGGTTCTAAATTAAGCAACTGACATATGTGGAGAGCTAGTGTCAAAATTTATATGTTTGTTCTGCACACCGCCCCCCATCCAGTGGGCAGCGGTGGATAGGTTACAATCACTCAGTTACTACCTACAGTTAGCAAACTGGGGATATTTGGCTAAAATTTCTGGTAGCAGATCATTTTGAATGAAATATTTACACATCGCTGGAACATTGGTTATAGAATTGTCTCTAAATTCACGTATCTTTTCGCACTCCATCACATAGTGACGGAAGGTGTGCGAATAATTTTGTTGACACAGTTTATATTTGGTCAGGTCTACATCGGCAGATAATGAGAATTCCCAGAGATACTTGTAACCGAGTCTAAGCCGAGCAGTTGTAACATCTAGAAGTCTGCTGATATTATTGGATGATCCATAGATGTGTGGCTCCTCTTGCATGATAGTATGATGATAGATGGAATTACTGGTGTCAAATTCACTTTGCCTCAGATCTACAAGATCTTGTTGAAGTTCTCGGTGTACTGCTGCTCTCAGATTGCTCATTGACAATCCAAGGTTACACTCAACGGCTCCTTTAAAGGCAGATTCTTTGGCTAACTTATCAGCTCTATCATGCATTCGGAGGCCAACATACCACAGAGTCTACCACAGATTAAGAAAGTAATTAGAAACAGAGCAATGCAGATGATGTACAGTGACCATGACACAGCAGTTGCAACATCAGGATCTGCGGGTTGGTACAAGAATTCAACCAACTACGAACCACTTAGTTTGATGAAAGGGAGCAGTAGAACAACAGAAGTACACTTACATCGCATCAGGCCCATGTATGTACCATGTACCCATGTACATGGGAAATAGGCTTACAGGTTCCGGAAGATGAGAGGAAATGTCAGCACTGGAGAAATGCCCGACAGATCACTGGAACATTATCTAACACAGTGCACAGTTATAAACCCATTAAGATTTCAACTTAGATTCAACAGAGCAGAAGAAGTTGTTCAACACATGGGGACAAAATCTTATTGAAGCGACCATACGAGTAATAAATACTCATACTCCGCCCAGGTAAAACAGAAACAAGCAACACTTAGCGGGCCAGCCAGCCAGAGGCTTAGGGCCCGTGCAGGAATATCCCTGCAAAAAAAAATAATAATACCAAAACTGCACGCTCCTCCTCATTAACAATTGCAGGTTGATCGTGGTTTTCCTCCACCACTAGAAAAAACAAAGTCTTGAATAGTTGTTCTCTTCCGCACCACGGGTGCAGCTGGAAGTGCAGTTGTTCTGACAATGGGCGATGGCTTGTACTTTGAGTGGGGAGTCCGTATGAACAATTGGGCCTCTACCCTTCAGACCGAACTATTTACCTTGATCCTTGCACTGAAATGTGTACAAGTCTCCAAACTTGATACATTAATTGTAAGTGACTCCTTACCATCCTTAAATGCTCTCAACTCTTTAAGACATAACTGTAACATGCTCGTGTCCGAAGCTAGACACAAATACAACAAAATTATTAAGGATGGTAACAGAGTCCATTTCATGTGGTCTCCATCTCATGTTGGCCTCCGAATGCATGATAGAGCTGATAAGTTAGTCAAAGAATCTGCCTTTAAAGGAGACGTTGAGTGTAACCTTGGATTGTCAATGAGCAATCTGAGAGCAGCAGTACACCGAGAACTTCAACAAGATCTTGTAGATCTGAGGCAAAGTGAAATTGACACCAGTAATTCCATCTATCATCATACTATCATGCAAGAGGAGCCACACATCTATGGATCATCCAATAATATCAGCAGACTTCTAGATGTTACAACTGCTCGGCTTAGACTCGGTTACAAGTATCTCTGGGAATTCTCATTGTTTGCCGATGTAGACCTGACCAAATGTAAACTGTGTCAACAAATTATTCGCACACCCTCCGTCACTATGTGATGGAGTGCGAAAAGATACGTGAATTTAGAGACAATTCTATAACCAATGTTCCAGCGATGTGTAAATATTTCATTCAAAATGATCTGCTACCAGAAATTTTAGCCAAATATCCCCAGTTTGCTAACTGTAGGTAGTGACTGAGTGATTGTAACCTATCCACCGCTGCCCACTGGATGGGGGGCGGTGTGCAGGACAAACATATCAATTTTGACACTAGCTCTCCACATATGTCAGTTGCTTAATTTAGAACCTGTACTTGAGGTCGATCTCGAACCCATTGTTGATGTGACGACTTATATTGAATTTTGTAACTAGCTCATCAAGATTGTAACTTGCTTAGCTAAATGAATTGTGGGGTTCAGTCCCTGAGCCCATTGTGTGCCTCTGTAACCCTTTCCACTACCGCCCACAAGATGGGTATAGGGTGCATAATAAATGAACTAAACTAACTTCCAGTACTATACATGTTCCTTTAAATGCGTCTCTCTCTCTCACTAGGACAAACATCCCTTCAAACGGCACTCTGACGCACTAGCATAAACGAGGTTTGAAGTAAAAGTCACATGCATTAGAAGAAATTAGTCATGCAGGAAATGTGCAGCAACGCCACAAATGGTCAGATGTCTGGCAAATGCTTTTTAATATTGACAAATGCAAGACCCTGGACGAGGAGCATAACAACCCGCCCCACAACTACCAAATTAATAACATTACATTACAACGGACTGAAGAAAAGGACCTTAGAGTCAAAATCCACCACTCAGTGAAAGTTGCACAGCAGGTGGGGGCAGCAGTCAAAAAAGCTAACGAAACATTTGGAATAATCTTTAATAATTATCAAGTACCTTTGACGTCAAGGAAAAAAAGGAGTAGTGATTCAATTGTATAAATCTCTGGTGCGCCCCCATTTGTATTACTGTATCCAAGCATGGAGACCTCATCTTCAGAAGCATATAGCTGCTTTGGAGAAGGTGGAACACCGGGCAACAAAAATCATTCCAGAGCTAAGTCAACTGACGTATCAGGAACGGTTGACGGGTCACTAGGCTAACAACACTGTAAACCAGGCATGACAGGACTGATCTTACTGAAACTTTTTAAATACTAAACAATTTGGAGGATGTTGATCCAGACTAAATATTACTACAGATCAAGGCAAGAAAGAAATCATGGATTTATTCAAAAGGTCAAATGTAATACAAACAAGGAGCAAGGGTTTCAAGCTCAATAGGCTACAATGTTGGACTCAAAATAGGAGATGCTTTTTTCACCCACAGGGTTGTAAACCAATGGAACCGCCTTCCGTAAATGCAGCCCATCCTCCGGTTGTGGTAGTACCTTTAGTAACGATGAGGACCATAGTATATATATACCACCGTACAACGAAAGTAGAAAGTAGAAATTATAAAGTATTGAGTTGGACAAACAGGAAAACTATTTTCTACTTATGTTGCAAAGACAAACTAAACTAACCTTCCTAGGCCTAATGCACTATATCCGAGGCCTAATATAGTATATATGTGTGTGTGCTATACTAGGCCTAGGAATATTTAAGTTTGATTTTAGTGTCATTTTTTCCGTCTATAAAGTGAATAGTACAAAGTTCTACTATCTAATTGCTTAGAACGACAATCTTTGTACTATGGTGCACGTAGTTACAAAAACTACTATCTAAAAAGGAGAATGAGTTGCGTAAATACCAAAACTCTGTAAACGTTTGAAGTACAGCTGGAAAAGATCAAGGCAAACGGCGGGACCTTCGACAAGCCGCCAGCTTCCTGTTCTCGTCGAGGTAACTAGTGTTAGTGGCTCTCAGGTAAACTCAGGTAAATTGAACGCAATCTGAAAAAGATGATAAAGTTATTGCCCCGCGTATGTAAGTGCATCATTGCCAGCTGGAGGACTCAGAGTTAGCAGGACTCAAGAGACTGTAGACTCACGGGAATGACTCAGAGTTAGCAGGACTCAAGAGACTGTAGACTCACGGGAATGACTCAGAGATAGCAGGACTCAAGAGACTGTAGACTCACGGGAATGACTCAGAGTTAGCAGGACTCAAGAGACTGTAGACTCACGGGAATGACTCAGAGTTAGAAGGACTCAAGAGACTGTAGACTCACGGGAATGACTCAGAGTTAGCACGACTCAAGAGACTGTAGACTCACGGGAATGCCTCAGAGATAGCAGGACTCAAGAGACTGTAGACTCACGGGAATGACTCAGAGTTAGCAGGACTCAAGAGACTGTAGACTCACGGGAATGACTCAGAGATAGCAGGACTCAAGAGACTGTAGACTCACGGGAATGACTCAGAGTTAGCAGGACTCAAGAGACTGTAGACTCACGGGAATGACTCAGAGTTAGAAGGACTCAAGAGACTGTAGACTCACGGGAATGACTCAGAGTTAGCAGGACTCAAGAGACTGTAGACTCACGGGAATGACTCAGAGATAGCAGGACTCAAGAGACTGTAGACTCACGGGAATGACTCAGAGATAGCAGGACTCAAGAGACTGTAGACTCACGGGAATGACTCAGAGATAGTAGTGCTCACAAGATAGACCCAAACGGATGACTCTAAAGTGAGTCAGATGTATTTCTGTGCTCACCGGTTACTAATTTAACACAGTATCATAATGACTTATGTTCTTGTATGGGGAAATGCAGTGAAATAATGTAAATGCTATTTCTCGTAAGAAGCTGAAGAATCCCTTATTTCAAAATATATAATTCATAAGAATTAAGAAAATTGTAGAAAGCCTATTAGTCCACACGAGGCTGCTACTGATTATGTCCACCTAAACTCATTAATATATATATATATATATATATATATATATATATATATATATATATATATATATATATATATATATATATATATATATATATATATATATATATATATATATATATATATATATGCCTAACCTACGTTTGAAACAATGTATGGATCCCATGTCTCTTATGTTAATACTCACCGTGAACATGGACACATATATCAGTGGTGCGCTTAACGAGGTGGTGTTGTTTCTGGTGCTGATGGTGTGATGGCGGCGGCGTCTTGAGCGACCTGCGGTAGACGTCTTTGCCGCAGATGGAGTCCAAGTTGTACCGTAACCGAGCCCGACACAGCGCTAGTCTCTCCTTGCTCCACAAGGTCTGCCATTCCGCCTCCGTCCTGCCAAGGTAAGATGTGGTTTAGTGTTTCCAGATATCGGGGACAGGAAGCCTGTTAGGCTGATCGAGGTCAGCCTTAGGCCACCGTCTGACCTTCCCCAGGATGCAACCCACAGCAGTTGTATACAGAAGAAACCTAAGCTGGGTAACGGGATGCCTACCAAAAGAAAAACAAATAACCACACAGAGGACGAGCATAAGAAATATTGCCGGAACAACTGTGGACATCTTCAAGAGGAAACTAGATTCTTTCCTCCAAGGAGTGCCGGAGAAATCGGGCTGTGGTGGGTATGTGGGCCTGCGGGCCACTCCAAGCAACAGCCTAGTGGACCAAACTCTCACAAGTCAAGCCTGACCTCGGCCCGGGCTTAGGGAGTAGAACTCCCAGAAGCCCATCAACCAGGTATCAACCAGACAGCGAGAGAGAGAGAGAGAGAGAGAGAGAGAGAGAGAGGGGTACCGAAAAGAATATTGCAGTGTCTGATAAAAGGACTGACATTATGTAACTATTTTCTACTTACTGATTGATGACTGATAAAGATTAAGCCACACACAAGAGGTGGCACGGGCATGAATAGCCCCTAAGTTTCTACTTACATTTCCTCATCCTACATATCAAGCTATAATAATAATAATTATTATTATTAGTATTATTATTATTATTATTATTAAAATAATAATAATACTAATAATAATAATAATAATAATTATTATTATTATATTATTATTATTATTATTATTATTAAAATAATAATAATAATAATAATTATTATTATTATTATTATGTTGTTGTTGTTGATTTAGGGGCGACGACGATTGTGGGATCGGATGCGGCCCGGCGTACCCGTGAAGGTTAAATGGCGTACTCGTTTCATCTTTAATCGCCAAGCACGGAAAGGTGAAACGCCAAGCCCATTCGCGAAACGAGTGACGCCAATCACCGGAAACTAATATGCCTCACAGCAAAGAAGCACAGACAGGCAGATGATTGGGGAGCCCAGGAGTCCCGCAGGGTGATGAGCACCAGCCCCGCCCCAGGAGTCCCGCAGGGTGACGAGCACCGGCCCCGCCCCAGGAGTCCCGCAGGGTGACGAGCACGGCCCCGCCCCAGGAGTCCCGCAGGGTGACGAGCACCGGCCCCGCCCCAGGAGTCCCGCAGGGTGACGAGCACCGGCCCCGCCCAGGAGTCCCGCAGGGTGACGAGCACCGGCCCCGCCCAGGAGTCCCGCAGGGTGATGAGCACCGGCCCCGCCCCAGGAGTCCCGCAGGGTGACGAGCACCGGCCCCGCCCCAGGAGTCCCGCAGGGTGACGAGCACCGGCCCCGCCCCAGGAGTCCCGCAGGGTGACGAGCACCGGCCCCGCCCCAGGAGTCCCGCAGGGTGACGAGCACCGGCCCCGCCCCAGGAGTCCCGCAGGGTGACGAGCACCGGCCCCGCCCCAGGAGTCCTGCAGGGTGACGAGCACCGGCCCCGCCCCAGGAGTCCTGCAGGGTGACGAGCACCGGCCCCGCCCCAGGAGTCCTGCAGGGTGACGAGCACCGGCCCCGCCCCAGGAGTCCCGCAGGGTGACGAGCACCGGCCCCGCCCCAGGAGTCCTGCAGGGTGACGAGCACCGGCCCCGCCCCAGGAGTCCTGCAGGGTGACGAGCACCGGCCCCGCCCCACACAGAGACCCAAGAGAGACCCAATCCCGTGGCCCAAGGCGATATGTGCGCCAGGCGTCGTACAACCGGACCGTTGAATAAGGATGCCAAACGGCAGTAGCAAAGCCAAAATGCGAAAACAGAACGTGATCAAGCGGCTCCCGGGCGAAGGTGTCCAGACGTCCGCTCGTCGCCAAGGTTGAACCAAGAGTTCCCTTATTACTATTATTGTTATTATTATTGTTGTTGACGGTAGGAGTCTGAGACGCACCGCCTGAGACGGGCTGCTGTACCCAGGCCGGGGAGACCTCGCTATCCAACGACAGCTGGTGGTGCGCCTTCTTTTGATAATTACTTTCTTTCAAAAAGACGTGTTTCCTCGGGAAAAGCTCAACATAGCAACAGTTAGGTAATTCTTTACTCACAATCGGGAATCCTGGGCGGGACAGAAATGGTTGAGCACGTTTCCATTCACCTAATGCCTCTGCTCACCTAGCAGTAAACAGGTACCCAGGAGTTGAATTGAGGTAAGTTTATTGAGGTATAAATGCACATCAATAGATGAGGCAGCTCAAGGTGTTCTCGCCTGTTCATTACAACGTTGTTACATTACAGCATTACAGCTCTCGCATGTTAACACTGAACATATTACTGAACATTCTGGTTCATAAATAGATGCATTTCTTACCCAGTAATTAGTCAGTTTGTGGGGTTACATCCTGGGGACGGGGGGGGGGGGCCAGTTGCGTGAACCATTTTGGAGGGGGAAGAACCTCGATATAAGGCTAACATGTATATATACACTGGCTGCCTGTCTCCCAGAAACAATGAATTATTATAATACATTTAACTAAAATAATTCCAAACATAGGTTGTGTGATTGACTTGTTAAACGTTGGTTGTATTATTTACTTGTTATATGTTAAACTATAGGGATGTATTAGGCTTGGTAAACTTGGGTTGTGTATTGACCGCTTGATCTAGGGTCGTGTGATTGGCTTGTTAAGCTAGGTTTGTGTTGTTCAGCTGCAAGACTAAGGTTGTGTAAGTAGCTAGTTAAACTTGTGCTGTGTGACCTAACCTGCTCTCAATCTGGCGGATCAGGTCAGGATCGAGCGCCCAGGAGATGGCCGCAATAACAAACATGGCTGCCAGCAACAACGCCATCTGTGGAGACGAAAATAAACTTGTATACAGGTTGGTCATCTTGGGTGAGGTCATGTCAAAAATAAAGTTCATCCATGATTGTACCCCATTGATTCAGGACGAAATAGGATTATAAATGTAGTAAATATAGGGAAGTGTTGTGGATCTGAGGATAGGTTGGGGCCAGCCACAGCTTGGACAACTATTTTTGTCAAGACATAAATGTTAATCATGTTCTTCGCATATTTGTAACTATTAATAACTTACTTGCTTAAATTAAGTAAGTTCATTGTTATTGCTTCACTGTTAAAACTTACTGTAAATACTTACGTGCTGGGAAATTGTTAATATTTCAGCTCTGATAATTGGTGAATATAACAGAAAAATATGCTAGCGTCATGATTATCCTTTTGGACAAAATATACTCAGCACTTGATAGTCTTAACTATCATACTGGGCATGATATACTTATCCCTTAATAGAGCCTCGACTCTAATACTTGGCATGATATCCATACCTATAAGACACAATGGCTGTTTATTTGGTTGTCTGTCTGAAGTAGGCGGCCAGAGGCTTGGGGCTAGCCTTACAAAACTTTCACTCATGAAACATGACGGGTGTGGGAGTGTCATAGGCCAGTCACGATAAGCCCAAGTGCCATGATCTCATAAATATCGGCATAGGAGAAGGGGAAGAGGTAAAAGAAGGGGTGGTGAGGGGGGACTATTGGGGAGGAGGGGGAGTGAGGAAGAGAGATGAGAGAGGGAAATGATTGAATGAGAGGGGAGGTGGCAGAGAGACCCGAGCACCGCCGAGTACCTCCCACCCAGTATTCATTATGTGATTAAGCCCCACTCTTCCTCCCTCTCCCCACTTATCCACTCTCCCTCATTCTTCCCCTTAACCCATTCCTTCCCATATCTCCATTCTTCCTTATCCTCTCCCCAATCCTCCCCTCTCCCCATTCCTCCCTCCACACCCCCATCCCGAAGCAATGGGTGGGAACCTCAAGTCTAAGGGCTTAAAGAGATTCCAACCCAGCATTCAAATTCCAGTTTGTCGTAACGATTTAAACAAAAGACTAGAGCCGAGAGCATTCCCATCCTCCTTGGGCTCCGACACGCGCCTTTCTTGTCCTACGTACATTTGAAGCCTACTCAGCAGCCCATTATTTCTTAAATAGGTTAATATTAAAAACTTTATAAGTTCACTACGGGCTCACCATAGACCGTGCTACTTGGAACATCCGCTTCAAGTACCCGAATCTTAACCAAATAATAAACAGTTTTTTTAACTTTAATGTTAAAGATACTTTAATAATAAATCGAATCAAAGCTAATGAAAATTAGAGATAAAGTTAAGAGTTGGTATACCCATCCTGTGAGTGGTAGTGGACCCCATACCCATCTTGTGAGTGGTAGTGGACCCCATACCCATCCTGTGAGTGGTAGTGGATCCCATACCCATCCTGTGAGTGGTAGTGGACCCCATACCCATCTTGTGAGTGGTAGTGGACCCCATACCCATCCTGTGAGTGGTAGTGGACCCCATACCCATCCTGTGAGTGGTAGTGGACCCCATACCCATCCTGTGAGTGGTAGTGGACCCCATACCCATCCTGTGAGTGGGAGTGTAAAAGGCTACAGAGGTTGATAATGGGCTCAAGAATTGAACATCAAATTTCATTTAGTTATGGATGTTGCAAAACTTGATGAACAAGTAACAACATTGATGAACAAGTTACAACATTGATGAACAAGTTGACCAAGTAACAACATTGATGAACAAGTTACAACATTGATGAACAAGTTACAGGATTGATGAACAAGTAACAACATTGATGAACAAGTTACAACATTGATGAACAAGTTACAACATTGATGAACAAGTTACAACATTGATGAACAAGTAACAACATTGATGAACAAGTTACAACATTGATGAACAAGTTACAACATTGATGAACAAGTAACAACATTGATGAACAAGTTACAACATTGATGAACAAGTTACAACATTGATGAACAAGTTACAACATTGATGAACAAGTTACAACATTGATGAACAAGTTACAACATTGATGAACAAGTTACAACATTGATGAACAAGTAACAACATTGATGAACAAGTTACAACATTGATGAACAAGTTACAACATTGATGAACAAGTAACAACATTGATGAACAAGTAACAACATTGATGAACAAGTTACAACATTGATGAACAAGTTACAACATTGATGAACAAGTTACAACATTGATGAACAAGTTACAACATTGATGAACAAGTTACAACATTGATGAACATGTTACAACATTGATGAACAAGTTACAACATTGATGAACAAGTAACAACATTGATGAACAAGTTACAACATTGATGAACAAGTAACAACATTGATGAACAAGTTACAACATTGATGAACAAGTTACAACATTGATGAACAAGTAACAACATTGATGAACAAGTTACAACATTGATGAACAAGTTACAACATTGATGAACAAGTAACAACATTGATGAACAAGTTACAACATTGATGAACAAGTTACAACATTGATGAACAAGTAACAACATTGATGAACAAGTAACAACATTGATGAACAAGTTACAACATTGATGAACAAGTAACAACATTGATGAACAAGTTACAACATTGATGAACAAGTTACAACATTGATGAACAAGTTACAACATTGATGAACAAGTTACAACATTGATGAACAAGTTACAACATTGATGAACAAGTTACAACATTGATGAACAAGTTACAACATTGATGAACAAGTTACAACATTGATGAACAAGTTACAACATTGATGAACAAGTTACAACATTGATGAACAAGTTACAACATTGATGAACAAGTTACAACATTGATGAACAAGTTACAACATTGATGAACAAGTTACAACATTGATGAACAAGTTACAACATTGATGAACAAGTTACAACATTGATGAACAAGTTACAGCATTGATGAACAAGTTACAACATTGATGAACAAGTTACAGCATTGATGAACAAGTTACAACATTGATGAACAAGTTACAACATTGATGAACAAGTTACAACATTGATGAACAAGTAAGTTAAGCATTGATGAACAAGTAACAACATTGATGAACAAGTTACAACATTGATGAACAAGTTACAACATTGATGAACAAGTAACAACATTGATGAACAAGTAACAACATTGATGAACAAGTTACAACATTGATGAACAAGTTACAACATTGATGAACAAGTTACAGCATTGATGAACAAGTTACAACATTGATGAACAAGTTACAACATTGATGAACAAGTAACAACATTGATGAACAAGTGAACAAGTTACAACATTGATGAACAAGTTACAACATTGATACAGCATTGATGAACAAGTTACAGCATTGATGAACAAGTTACAACATTGATGAACAAGTTACAGCATTGCATGATGAACAAGTTACAACATTGATGAACAAGTTACAACATTGATGAACAAGTTACAAGTGGGAATATAGTAGAAATATATAAAATACTCAGGGGAATAGACAGAGTGGACATAGACGAAATGTTCACACGTAATAATAACAGAACGAGGGGACATGGGTGGAAACTGGAAACTCAGATGAGTCACAGAGATGTTAGGAAGTTTTCTTTTAGCGTGAGAGTAGTGGGGAAATGGAATGTACTTGGGGAAAAGGTTGTGGAAGCAAACTGTATTCATACTTTTAAAATTAGGTAAGATAGGGAAATGGGACAGGAGTCATTGCTACAACCGTTGGCTAGAAAGACGGGATCCAAGAGTCAATGCTCGATCCTGCAGGCACGAATAGGTGAGTACACATTCGTAAGTACACACCCTCTCTCACACACACCCTCAATGGGCGCTGGTGGCTGAGTGGACAGCACGCTGGACACGTAATCCTATGGACCAGGGGCCAGATTCACGAAGCAGTTACGCAAGCACTTTCGAACGTGTACATCTTTCCTCAATCTTTGACGCCTTTGGTAACATTTATTTAACAGTTTACAAGCATGAAAACTTGCCAATCAACTGTTGTTATTGTTATAAACAGCCTCCTGGTGCTTCCGAGCTCA